GATGAGCTTTGTAAAAATCGACGCGTTTCAGAAAGGCGGGGCATAGAGGAGAAACAATAATGTACAGTATGTGGAAAATAATGTGTTTTTTGAACCGTAAACCACAAACACATTTCATTACACCAAATACACAAAATAATGTTCTTTTTAGCAGCATCATATGACCCCTTTAAGACTGGTTTTGTGGTCCAGGGTCACATATGATTCCACATTACAATGGACACACATACATGTGATTGTACTCTATTTGTCGCTGGAAGTCTTATGTTGCATTATTAGTGTAGCAATCAACATTTACTGAATGATTTTCAGCTGATCATATTCAATAATAATTTTTAAGTTCAACAACAATTAATGTATTATTTGACAATAATTTCTAAATCACATCAACTAAAATTTTCACATTTAACTTTGTTTGGTTAACTTTGTTTACACCCACTTTTCACAATCCAATCAATCCCCAATAGATAAAATTGTCCCATATGACTTTTTTTTTTCTGAGTGAATATCTGAATTCTCCTGAAAATACAACATATTATGTAAATAAAATAGGTACTGATCTGCATTTCACAATCAATCATGCATTTTGATGCACATAGAGCATCGATGAGACCCCGTACCTGTGAAGTCAGTGTTGACAGGCAAAGTGGAGCTGGGAAATCTGAAGTAGCCACTCCCTGTGAAGCGTCTCCCCCTTATAACCTGACCCTGGGTGTCAGACAAAGACACATCCGTCCGCTCCACATGGTACAGAGGTTGAGGCCCATTGAGCTCGGCCGGGGCATCCCAGGAAACCTTCATCACAGTCATATTCAGCGGTCTTAACGTAGGGGCGCTTAGACCTGCCGGGGCTATCATAACAGAAAAAAAAAGGAAAGGATGGAGAGATATGAATATTTAAAAAAAAAAAGAGATGTGCATTTATAGTCATCGCTCAGTTTCATGCATGCTGCTGTAATGATCTAATGGGGCTCTCATGTAGGCTGAGAGGAGGTAAATTACCTCGGCCTGACACATCCTCTGTGCATTTAGCCCACTCTGCCTGTCAGGCCGTCCACACCAGCAGTGCTAATAAAAACCCTCCATTGGGAATGGACGTGTTGTCTTCCAAGGCCCATCACGGCACACAAGTCATAAATTACACTCAATCAATAGCACTTGAGTCTATATAATTGAAACTCTGATATAATTTCAAATCCCTCCCGCTGATTTAATAGGATTTGTGTGAAGTCTCGCTGGACATTTATCATTTTTTGCCTTAAAACATAAGGCGGTAAAAATGAAGTGTGACTGACGTGGCTTCATGTGCCCTTACGTACTACGAAGTAAGTGATTATTCATGAAGAGTCAGCAGGTGGTGGAAACTCATTAAGGGACAGTTCACCCAAAAATTCTGTCATCATTTACAGAAGCAGCGATTTGTGAATGAATTGTTCCTTTAGTAGCATCTTTTTAATGAATCAATTGTTCCAGTTCAGGAAACTGGTCGTAATATTTAAAAAAGTCCAGATAAAAATTTAAAAAATGAAAGATAGCCACAAAGGTTTGGAATGACATGAGGGCGAGTAAATGATAACAGAATTTTCATTATTGAGTTTTTAATATTTTTCCAGTAAAACTCTGAACAAAACCATTTTTTTCTTAGTGTATTATAGGCAAAATTAAAACAACAGTAGCGCAGCATGGTTAAGCAATTCATCTTTTTCAAACCAGCGCATTTAATGTTTTGACATGGCTCACGGGCTCAGCAAAAAGGTTAATATTGTCTTCATCATATTAATGACTAAGTCAAAGAAAGACATGTCTAGCACCAATTACAGCCTGGCCTGAGTGTTTTCTGTATTTATACAACCTGACGTTTTCCATGGAACTATAATACTTATTTCTGTAACAGGAAAAGTATTGATTTATGCATAATTGTCTAACCCTCTCAGCTGGAGGGGAATATATGCACACAATATTTCGAGTCAATGCAATGTGTACAGGCGGGATACACTTGTTCTGCTTGCCTTTATGGATGTAATACACATAAAACATTACCATCAACTCTTGATTAGCTGTTCACATTTCAACAAGATCAATAATGGCAGTGTGCTTCCTTTTTAAAATGCTACAGGCTTATGTCCTCATCAGAGAGGGCATGTGCGCTCAAAAGAGAATTATGGTTCCTTTTACATAGAAAGAAGGAGAAGCTTTTTGGAGGAATTCTGAATATTTGTTGAACATTTTTGAGCAGTATAATGTAAAATAATAAACACACACACACACACACACACACACACACACACACACACACACAGTATATTCAAAAAGAAAATGTATTTTAAATTGTAATAATATTTCACAATATTAATGTTTTTACTGTATTACTGATCAAATAAATGCAGACTTTGGAAGAATAAGAGGTTTTTAAAAACAAACAAACAAACAAAAAAACACCATATGCGCATATATGCATACACACACACACTGTATATTCAAAAAGAAAAGTTATTTTATATTGTAATAATATTTCATAATATTAATGTTTATAACCATTGGAAAAAAAACTTACAAAGCCCACACTTTTGAATGGTAGTGTACATGAGAAAATAAGAAAATTCTCTTAAAATTAATCTTGCATCTGACAGAGCTATAAATTGTGGATTTTATGCATTTGAACCAATCACGGCAGCTTGCCAACCAACAATTAAATGGATTGTGTACAATGATTTTGAATAGTTACTCTCTTGCTATGCATGCAGAAATGTCTTTGATCTGCGTCACATTCTGCCTGGATGTTTAATGTAATTTTCATTGATTATATGGAACCAAAACCTTGACCGCAACCAGGAGCAAAATTTCAAATATTGTGTTTGCTGAGATCTTTCCGGTCTGTTCAATGAAAAGTAAGGATAAGGATAAATCAAAAACAATTAAATATTGCCTTAAAGAATGTGAATTAAAAGACAAATCTGACTCAAAGTTCAAATTATTGGAAACAAACTGTTTATTTCCATTACTGTGTTCTATAGCTATGAGAAACATTAATCTACAGTTTAACCATTCTGCTATGAAGATATTGACTCAGTGTCTATGTTTTTAAAAAAATTTTCTGACATGTTGGTGTTATATCTTTCATTTGGATGTTATAAGTTGCACTGAGTAAATACAGCTGGATAAAACAAAAACTGTGTCCATCTTCATTTCAGGCTGCAAAGCAACAAAATGTGATTTTAATCACAAGGGTGATGCTTTTCTATACTCACTGTATAAATAACTTAAGTGTCTCCATTCATTTCAGTGGTGTGCTATTTAAAGCAATTTGATGTCATTCCACTCAGAGAAAGCAGATGCTGACTTCTCAGTTTGAACAGATGGTAATTCTGTCTAATAGTGCATTGATGTAATAGTGATGTGCATTGTGTATACAGACAGTCATAAAACGGAGGTAAGGCTCAAATAAATTGCAATCATCAACGTTAAATCCTGGCAGAGAAGTGGGTGAAAACAAGGCTTGAGGGAGACATAGTCTTGAGTGGTCCAGACAACAGGTTGTGCTGGGTTAGTCAGCGTGCTGTTTGTTCAGACATACAGGAGGTGTGTAAGGGCATTAAGAGCAGCTTGTGTGGGAGCAGAATTTTAATGAATTGGAGACACTGCAAATTCATCTTAAGTGGTCGTAAAATGAGCTTTGATATGAAAAATAAAGAAAAAAGCCCCCCCCCACACACACATAAAAAAAATCAAAGCAAATATTCGTTTATGTCCTTAAGTATACCAACCGATACCCTATGCTGACAAAAAATCCTTCAGTAATAACCCTATAAACAGAAGCAAAGCATTAAAAGTCTCCTACCATATGGAAGAGCCGATGACATTGGCTGCAGCATATTGAGCTGACCATATGTTACAGCGGCGCTGCAAGCCTGACTGATTCATGCCCATCACATTCCACTGTATCAATTAAAGGCCCTTGAAGGCTGCATGATTTGTGCCTCTGTTATTAAACCCTGCTAATTCATCCTACTTACATATTCCTTATAAATCTCCGGGAGTGTGCGGTGATTCATGGCAATCGGGGAGAGTGCTACGGCACATTTTTCTCCTTGTAATTAACAGTAAATTGTTTTTACTGCCGCACAATGAATTTCTCGGCTTGGGCCACAAATGAAGTAGTAAGAAACAGAGAGAAGAATCCTGACTGAGGGGTTGGTTTAACTCATTAAGTCATCACGTGAGCCGATGTGTGAATGGCTAAATAAAGGCAAAGGGAAAAAACTGAAGTGGGACATGAGGCTGGACATTGTCAGGAAGTACACTGCCTTCCTGTACAATTAAGAAAAGGACAAATCTGCAAAGGCTAAGCTGAGAATACATATCCAGGGTAAGACGAGCCAGTTTCATGTATTCTACAAATAAGTAGTATAACACGAGGGTTTTTAACTGCCTAATACAAGATTTTGCCTAATGTTTAATCTATGTGTTGTGCTGGAGGATCACACATCTACTATTTATGTATTTACAAAATTGTCAATTTTCACATTCAGTTTATATCACTTATAATTGCTAAACATATGCAGTTCACTGTAATACTGATAAGTGTTTGATCTTAAGAACTATTTTTAAACAATGTATTTTGTACACTTTTGTTACTGTGCAAAATCTGGATCCTCAAAACAAAACAAAAAATAGAAAATAGAAAAATATTATATTTTATATATGAGTAAAAAATAATAGTCACTATATAAAAGGTGGCAGCAAGAGTGCGAAAGAAAGAGAGTGAGAGAGAGAAAGAAAAGCCTGATAAAAAATAAAATAGTGTTCTTGATGATGACACACTTTCAGAAATTGCGCAAGGAATGAACCTTCCTTCCTTCCTCTGACTGCTTGACTGATCAAAATTCATCAATTTTAAAGTAAGAAAATAATAGAGATAACAGAGTGAATCTAAAATATCTTTAGTTTGTATTCCTTTGAGATAAAAGACTTCCTCTCTCAATTGAGAGCAGGGCAGAGCATACGTGCTCCAGTTCACCGATGGGTTTACATACACAATTAAAGGTGGTCTGTCCCGGCCTTCACTGAGGGAGACCTATTCAACAAACTGACTATGAGCAATGACAGACACTTTCCATTAAATGCACTTCATTAATATTAACATAAGAATTAACACCTATTCAGATTTTTCTCCTTTCAACGACAACATATATCAGAGTGCTCAACGCGTAATTGGATGTTGAGTGCTCACACACGCATGCTGTGTGTGTACTCCATTATAAACCGTGAATTTTAACAGTTGGGATTGGTTATTATAGTTTGGATTGGATTTGTATCAGGGATGATGCAGCATCGCTGGAAGAAAATTTTAAACCTAACAGTAAACATCTGAACATAAATAAGAGCGAAGTAAATCCGCAGCAAAGATTCAGAATGTAGACCTGTGATAAAAACTTAAAGGGGTCATATGAAGCGATTTCAAGTTTTCCTTTCTCTTTGGAGCGTTACAAGCTGATTGTGCATATCATATGTGTTTTTGAAAAATATCTCTTTTGCAGTTTATAACGTAGCTATCCTTAAATTAAAACAATCTGCAAAGTTGTTAATCAAAAAAAGTGCATGATACATAAAGATATTGTCTCTCAAAAGAGAGAGTCGATTCTGAATTTGCTTAACGAATCGTCATATTTTCGAATCTTTTGCCTGTTACCGGTATACGTCACTGGGTAACACATTTGCATAATCCCCGCCTGCCCGCGAAATATGAACAGAGTCTGACCTGCCCACAAACACTTCCGCTAGACTAGTTAGTGTGTTTACATCATGTTGAGAAGATGCTGTGTTCAAGGATACCACAGTAATACAATTCGAACCTTTTGTTGTGTGCATGTCATTTTTCCAAGGACTGCTTCTCTAATCTTGGCTTTTATCTTCGTTGGCTTCTAATCTTCTTAATTTGGACTAACAAGCTCTCCGAACCAAATTGCTGTTTATTTTGCTGCACCAGCAGTTATATGATTAATGTGGGAGAGACGAGCGAGTTAATGTTAGTTAGGCTGGTGCGCCTGTGATACAGCTGTTCTGTGTTCTGATTAAAAGTTAAGACACAGAGCGTCTTTTGTCTGGCTTTCTTCAAACATTACAGTAGACATATTTTGGTTTACAAACTGTATCGTTTCATCAGTTAGTCACGTTAGCACTCGGCTAACATATCCACCATTATTGTTTTAAGTGTTCACAGTTTAGCAGCTAAACTTTAGCTGTGGGCACGATTCGCTTGCATAAATGTTTATGTATTTTATGACATTATTATAAGAACGGATTGGAGCACTATATTATCGTTTTATGTAAAGGTGCTTTGTCAATCGTAGCGCTCGCTAACTTGCTCAAGGAATCCTCTCTGTGCCAATCACAACAGGCTTGGCCAGCTGACCAATCAAAGCAGAGTAGGCTTATGGAAGGGAGGGGTTTGCTCCGAACTTGCTTGGAACGAATCGTTTCGAAATCATTGGCAAATGACTCTAATATTAAATGTATATTCTGAGAAAATTACAATGTTGCAATTATTTTGTATGCATTTAAACCTGTTGTAGGGGACTCCAACACGATATTAGGACACTTTAAAATACCATATGACCTGCTCTTTAACATCAAAGGCTGCTTGTACGGTACACTGGATGTAGATTATAGGGATAGTACTGACCGGAAGGCAGAGTTCGGCTTGATGCAGATGGACTGCTCACGCAGCCCTGTCTGTTGCACACAGTTACAGTAAAACTGTACTCCTCATAGGCCTTCAGTCCTCCTGCCGTGTAACTCCGCTCCTGTGCTGATCCACTGTACAGCACCTAAAACATACAAACACACATATAACACTGAGTACAGTTTAAAATAGATATAGAAAAGAGAAATAGATATAGATAAACTCAACACTAACATTTGCAAGCACACAATTACACACCTAAAAATGACCTTTTAGGCACTTGAACTAAGACAACAAAGTCAGATCCAAGGTCTATTTGTTCTAACATTTCAACCATGGTGCTCACATGGACACTGCAAGACTAGAATATAGTTACACTAGAAGATAGTAATAAAACCTGCCCTGTGAAAAAAAAGTATTATGTTAAATTTAAGGTAAAAAAAAACAAAAAAACAGGCAGCTGTGATTGCCAGAAATTCACCATAAAACACTGTGACTGTGATACTGTGATATTTTATGCAATAAAGATGAACTAAAGGACTAAAAATGTGATACAAACACCTTAAAGTACATTACTGATAACAAAATTATTTATACAAAATATGATCATATGTGATGCATCAAGCAGTTTTACACCATAAATTATTTTGTCATTCATAGTTTCACTTCCAAAAAACTATATATTTGACAATATTTTACAGTAGAATTACATATGTGATGTTAAATCATTTACAATTTTACAAATTCTGACTTTAGCATTTTCATAGCATTTTTCCATTAAAAATTACAATCTTTTTTTACAGTTTAGCTATCTATTAAAAATAAAAGGACATACCTTTGAGTGGTGATGTACATGCATTGGTGAATATACTGTTTGAATTTTTTCACTGAAATTTAATCATCAGAATGAACTACAACAAACCATTTGAAACAACAATTTGCTAAATAAATCGGTTTTCCCAATTGTTCAAGGTAAAGAGAGGAACAATCTAGGAAAGCATGTTTGATTTCCTCATATTGCTCAGCTGTATAATAAGGCAGATGGCAGAATAATACAATGTGAAAAAACAGCAATGTAGCATTTAGAAAAGATGTTTTGAAAACAGCATACTCAGTAAGTACATGCAATAATTCAGCAACTGATCATACCAATGGGAGTTCTTAAAACCGCTCATAAGAAGTAGACGTATACATGCACTGCACAGAACACACCTTCGGAGCTTTCAATACCTGCCTGACCCGACATATTTATTAAAAACTTTCATATCTGCAGGTTACTGATTGAAAACATCATCAATGCTAACATACACTTATCAAACTAATTAAAATCTATGATAATGAAATCCAGTTAAAAAGAGGATTGTTCAGGGAAAGTAATCTCAAAAAACATCCTTGAAACATTTGCCACGAAGACAGGAAAGGTGATCCTGATATGGAAAACAGTGCTTTAAATACAGACTAACATGTGGGAGACGGCACTACTTTAACCTTTAAAAGGTCTGCTACCCGAACGAAGAAAAAAAACAAAAAGATTCACATGAGTAATAGAGGAGACCTTTTTGGACAGTTCAGCCCACGCCACATGCATACTGGGACACAAGGCACAAGTTATGGAAATATAAATCTGGACAAAAATGAAGGTTACTGGGGACAAAAAATAAATTTCTTTAATTTCAGTGGAAACATATCAATGAAAGCGAGAAAAAAAGTTGAAAAACTGGAGCAATAGGAAGTGTTCTGTGTGATGCATGAAGCAAAGAACAACACAATATAGCCACAGAAGCTTCAAAGCTGTGTGCCAACACATCTGAATATTCTGGCAGTGGCCCTTTTCTATCAAGAAAAAAAGTTGAATGTGCTGAAATGGATACCTGTGTTACTATAGGTGGAGCGTATGGGTTGGACATTTGTTCTTGGTGAAGGTTGACTCTGTACTCAGTCACTTCGCCCCTGACGTCTTTGTCCTGTGGCATTTCCCAGCTCACTCTGAGTGAGGACGAGGACGAGGACACAGGGGACACGTGAGGAGGGGGCATGTACTCGGGCACTGTGGAGCAGCACAAATAATTCATCAAAACAACAAAACCTTTTCTTAATCAGCATTTTTGTCTTGTTATCCAGCAAATGAATGTACTTGAGACGAAAATGTAATTTATGTAGAGAATACTGCAATTAGGTTCCTTAATTTAGTTTTTTTTTTTAATATATTTTAAGCATAAACCTAACAAGAAGTAACAAACAAATAAACAATAATAATAATCTGCTTGTTAAGTCTGACGTCACGCGTCACCGCTTCCGGGTCCAAATGATCTATCAGATGCCACAAGAAAGAAGAAATGTATATGTGTCACGATGTGGGTAGATGAGGCACACAGCGATGGGGTAATCCAAAAGGTGAGTCTTTAATTATCAATCCAAGAGAGAAATACAGAATAACAGAGGAGATAAACACCACAACGTAACTTTTAAGCAAGACAAAGGAACTGAGGAAAACACAGGGTATATAAACACA